TATTCTGCATGGAAATCGGACATTTGACCTGCAGGATACCCAGGAACTAAAGGGAAATGGCTTAATCTCCCTGCCATATGTCCCTCCTTCATGCCCACGCAATTTTATATGTGTATGCAAATGCATGTAAATATATGCATATGTGTCATGCTTCTCATTGTCTGGCTGGGAGTTTCAAACAGAGGAGCTGATCCTCCTTAGAAACCTCCTCACGAAGAAATGAACCACGTGAGCAACTGCAACAAACGGCGCAGGCTTGGTGTGACGTGGTTCTCCCTGGTGCCTGCCCCTTGGCCACCCCACCGACCTGCCGACCAGGGCAGGGTGCTGCTCGGCTGACCCGGGTCCCTCTCATTTCTGCTGGCCATCCTTGGAGACAAGGTATCCCACCGACCTGCTTTATCTTCATCCGGCTCACGAGTAACTGCACCGTTGCATAGATTTAAAAACCAGTGCACTACTCACAAAACATTTCGGGTTTGTGGAAGGGTTACTTCCAAACGTTTTTATTTTCTCTAAATGAAATTTTCAAATATGTGGCAATTTGAGGTGGAAATTCTCTTCTGTAAATAAGCTTGGGAACATACCTAGTGAGCAAAATGCATGATGCAAATCACTGTCTGGGAATGTTTTATATGATATGAAACCTTTGCTTCAGAAAAACAGAAATTATCTCTGCTGCAAACCTAATTTCTCTTTCTGGGCCTCAGAAAATAAGGTATCTGGTAATGTAACTAGCAAACAATTCTGACATTCATTTCAGCTCTACAATCCAGTCCCTGTAATAGAAAATAGACTGTACAGGAAAATGTTACTTCAGAAAAACATGAGCCTCGGAGATTTAGCCCTATACAAGCAGGCATCAACTTAATGAAGTTTGGAGTGAGGAAAAAAAATTGGCATAATTTCACTTTGGGCTTGCAGGCATTTCACAGTAAAGAGCATATTTGCCATCATGTAGTACTCGACACAGAAAACACCCCAGCCTAAATTAGAGAGCACCCACACTTGTCAGGTGCTGGAATTTTCCTTCTCGTTGCACGCTGTTCGAGCTCAGGTTCTCTGGCTGCCAGCCCATGACATACGTCTTCAGGAGGGACGCATTTTCCCACCACTACAACTATACAAGGATTAACATCTCTGGTAACAGACATTGCCATTTATTCCTCATCTCCCCTGCTGGACCATCGCTTTTCTTGCTTCTGTACATTGAGATGGCTTCGGGCGTTAAGACAGAGCCAGCACATTCTCCTTGTGAGACAGAAAACCTCTCAGTTGAGTTGACATCTTGCATTATTGAAAATGTTGCCCACCCGGCGAACGCACGGTGGTTTAGGTGTGCAAGACATGGTGTTTGTTTGTTTGCTTGCTGGCGTCATTAATTTCATCGGCCAGCAATATTTCAGTAAGGGTTGAAAGTCATCGCAACATAAAGCACTGAGGGTTACAGTATTCTGGGGATTTATTTTAAACCCAACTATTTTCCTGTGTATGTGTATGCAAGTCATTAGTTGTTCTTCGAGTTTACTCAGCTGGTCAGATAGATAAGGAGACTGTCTGGGTAAGAATTTTGCGGGGTTTTGTTGTTGAGTATCTGGGATTGGGCATGTTAGTGTCATGTTTTCTGTAAGAGCGCTGGTTTACAAGGGAAACAACACGGAAGAGCAGGGATAAAGTTTCTGGCAGGTCTCTCCAGAGGAAACCATTCCCCAGTACATCCACTGCAGGAACAGCCCCGTGGCTAAAAATACCCCAGCTGGCCTCATCTGTAGAGAAATTTGCCCCTTTGACTTCAGGGATAAAAATGCCTTGTGCGCTTCAATGGGTAGTAATTATCTTTCCAGGAGCATTGACTGGCCACTTGTTCACGGACGGAGTAGATCACAACTCAGGGTTGTCCCACAGGGTCACGTTTCATCAAGAATTGTGACTGAAGCCTGTGTAGCTTCTCTCTCAGTAGGCTTCTTGCCGAGTTGGGTTACAGCTGGCTGGATGCTCCTCTGCTGCCATGGCCACACATCAACACCAGGCAATGGGGCTTTGAGAAGTTCCAGCCCCAGCTGAGACCATTCCCATGTTGAAAATAAAGAGCATCCTCTTTTTTAACTCAGGCATCTTACTTTTCCTCATTCTCCTCGGCTCTGCACCAAAGCTCTAGGAGGCAGGATTGCTTACTACCCATTTTAGATGACCCACAGAATAAGATAATGAGGTGTAGCATCTCCCTAGCGTCTGCAGAGTGATTAAAAAGGGAAAAAAGTAATTTCACAAATGTGCTTATGATACACACAATTTATAAAATTAGTGAATAGGGAAAGTGCAATGAACTGCTTAAGGTTTGTGTTGCATAAATAGGAATATGTAAAAGAGCCCTTAATTGCAGAGATGCTTCTTTTTTTTAGAAATTGGTTACAGAGACTTTATATTTTAAATACTTTTGTCTTCTACAATATCTTAAAATGACTAGACTTTATTTAATATATAACTGTAAGAAGATCTTTATGCAAAGACCTATTACACGTAGGCTGCTCCATGGTTCTAGAGCTCCTGCAGGTCTGCAACTGGCTTGAGAAATTGCCAGCAGAAAATGGTAAAGACCCTTTTGAAACCCTTTGAGCTTGCTCTTCTTTCTTGGGCCATCTGTAAATGCACCATCTAATGTACTCCTGCAGCTCTTGAAGCAGTGCTGGAAGAATGGGGAGACTTCCATTTTTATTTCATGTTTCCATATATTTTTTTTAGAATGTGAGCAAGAACTTTCTATACTCTTCTGGAGTGATGTGGGGAAAGTTAATAAAGATCATGACCAAAGGACGGTCATGGAAATGGTGCCCAGTCTGAGCTTGGATGAATCTTCCTTGGTAACGCTGTCTGAAAAAAGGCCCCTCAGCAATTGTTGCAATGAGTAACTGTGGCCAGGGAGTTTGGTTTCTTTTAAAAAAAGCCCCACATATTCAGGACAGAAGTCTGGTTTTGTAACTGGGTTTTGTGTCGCTGCAGAAGGAGGCAAGGAGATGGGCTAGAGGCAGACACATCCCATGATTTGGGGGAGAAAAGATGAGGAAAGGACGATGCAAACAGTTCCCTCCTTGACGGCCGTATGGTCTTCAGCAGCATCACAGTGATGTCAAGGAGAGGGAATTACCACTTCTTATTTTAGACTGCCAATATATAGAGAAATAAACCAGTGCCCAAATATTATATCCACATTAGTTCTTCATGGCTAATGTTGTTACAAGGAATACCAGAGGAATTAGTAATGAATACCCACTCACTGTAAAGTGTCGCCAGATATATACTTAACTTGTAACGCTACTGGGAGCACATATATAATTTTTGTGTTTGTTATGTAAAAATATGACTTTGAGGGCTCATTGGTCTAAATTTAATTATGTAATGGCATAAGTTAAACTGCATGAAAGATATATAATTATGGGCTGTTCTATCTAATACTATTAGCCAATGTTACAAACCCAGCATTTTACTTCTATTTGTTTTAGTTTTGAGAGGTTACACTTGCAGTGTTTGTGACCCAAAACAAATGAAACTTTTGCTTCAGAATCGAACAGTCAGAAAATGCCTATAATAAAAGACGTTCTGTTT